TGCAAATGCCGATGGTGGACTCGAGCTGAGACCTTGAAGGTATTTGATAAGTTGTTGGATCTCTGAATCATTCCACTGTTGTTGGGCCAAGTCAGATTCACTGACTGCACAAAGAAAATGGCCATCGGTATCATCGTCCCTCGATGTTGTCGCGAGGGGTGCGCGCGAAAGGCAATCAGCATCAGTGTGCCTGCGGCCCGACTTGTAGACGACTGTAACCTCAAATTCTTGAAGGCGTAAGCTCCACCTCCCGAGGCGCCCTGAAGGGTCCTTGAGATTGGCCAGCCAACAGAGGGCATGATGGTCCGTAACTACTCTGAATGGACGGCCATACAGATACGGTCGGAACTTTGTTATCGCCCAAATAACAGCAAGACATTCCTTCTCCGTGGTCGAGTAGTTAGTTTCCGCAGATGACAAAATGCGGCTAGCATAAGCGATGGGACGTTCAGCGCCGTCTTGCCACTGGACGAGTACTGCACCAAGACCGATGTTGCTTGCGTCAGTGTGAAGTTCAGTGGTGGCATCTTCATCAAAGTGCCTCAGTAAGGGTTCACTCTGAAGGCACTGCTGAAGCTGGGAAAAAGCGGCTCTCTGCTCTGGACCCCACACAAAAGGAGTATCCTCCTTCGTTAAATGGGTAAGGGGTTCAGCGATGTTGGCAAAGCTCTGGAGACAAAGCGCCTGTAGTAGGCGCAGAGACCCAAAAACCGGCGCAAATCCCGTTTGTTCGAAGGTGGAGAAAATGCAGCAACAGCCATGGTCTTTTCTGGGTCTGGTCTAATGCCATCGTGACTGATAAGGTGGCCGAGGAACTTTAGTTCTTCGTAGCCGAAATGACACTTCTCCGGTTTTAGAGATAGGCCTGCGGATCGAATAGCGACGAAGACGGACTGAAGTCGTTGTAAATATTGCTCAAATGTTTTGGAAAAAACAACGACGTCGTCTAAATACACGAGGCAGGATTCCCCCTTCAGACCGAACAGGACGGTGTCCATCATCCTTTGGAACATTGCCGGTGCAGAGCACAATCCAAATGATAACACTTTAAATTCGTAGAGGCCATCGGGAGTTATGAATGCTGTTTTTTCCCTGTCACGTTAATCGACCTCAATCTGCCAGTAGCCGCTGCGTAAATTCATTGAGGAAAAATATCGGGCATGTCGAAGTCGATCCAGTGAATCATCTATGCGTGGGAGAGGGTAGACGTCTCTCTTCGTCACTTTGTTGAGCTTCCGGTAATCGACGCAAAATCGAAGAGTGCCGTCTTTCTTTTTAACAAGTACGACGGGTGACGCCCATGGACTGTTCGAGGGTTGGATGACGTCGTCGTCGAGCATCTGTTTCACTTGAAAACGTATTGCCTCTTGTTCTTTTTGCGACATGCAGTAAGCGTGCTGTCGAACAGGCCGTTCGGTAGGGTCCGTTATAATTCGGTGCTTCACGGTTGGGGTCTGCTTGATTTGGGAGGTCGACGCAAAGCAATCACTATATAAACATAACATCATGCGTATCTGCTGTTGCTGCGCACAGGATAGCTGGCAATTCACGTCAACTGTACTGGCTAATGCACTGTTACCTTCGGCAGCAGTGGCAATCGGAGCGATAGTGGAACATTCTTCGTCATCGGTGGCTTCAAAGTTCGCGATTGCTGTTCGCTTTGCCAAGTGTTGGTACTGGCCGCCGAAATTCGTGATCAGAAGCTGAGTCTTCCGATGTTTCAGTTTGACGATAGCACGCGCGACACAAATCTGCCGAGCCAAGAGCACCGAGAGGTTAGTTTCCGCGATGCCACTACTCTTGTTGTCACAGTCGCTCTCCACCGTTACCAACATACTGGCTCGCGGCAGCAGTGCGATGGTGTCGTCAGCAATTCGAAGTGTTGTGGTCAGCGCAACTGCATCCTTTCGTAAGGCTGTATGGTCGTTAGATAACGTTATGAGCAGGTCGCGAAGGTTAATAATGGCTCCATGCTCGCGGAGAAAATCCATTCCAAGAATCAGGTTTTGGGAACATTCGCGCAATACAACGAAGGAAACAATGTACGTCGACTCACGAATTCGGAGGCGGGCAGTGCACATTCCTAGCGGTGTCAATAGATGACCTCCCGCAGTCCGGAGGTTGGTTCATGTCCCCAAGGTGTCGTTACCTTTCTTAGCTGAGCAGCGAGGTCAGCGCTTATAACAGAATAATCGGCACCCGTATCTACCAAAGCGGTCAGTGGGTGGTTGTCGACAAGAACAGAGATACGAGCAGAGACCCGTTTGTTGTCGATGGCACACGTCGGTGAAAGAATGTCGTCGGATGTCGGCAGGCAAATCGGGGGAGGGTCTTGTAACGGTCAATCAACAGCGGCCTCACCCCCAGAGGTCGCCGTTCTTAGTTTCCCCGGCGCGGGCCTGTGGATCTAGGCGATCTTCCTGCAAGGACGTCCGCAAAGGTTGATTGTTGGCCAGGTGACGTGGAACGCCGTGGAGATGGTGAGCGGGATTGGCGACGCGGAAGGGTTGAGGATCGTTGGCTTGCCAAGTATTCGGCGATAGCACGGGGCCGCTCACCATCTCTGGGTCGACGAGCATCCGGACGAAAGCCGGGAAGACCCATGTGCCTGTAGGCGCACTCACGGTAGATGTGACCTGCTTCACCACAGTGATAACATAGAGGCCGGTTGTCGGGAGCACGCCATACACTGGATTTCCGTGTAAGAGATCGGTTGCCGTACTGCGGTGGTCCCGAGTAGAACGACGGTGCCGTCTGCAGGGGGGACGGACGGGACGGATAGCCAACAGCCGGTGCAGGAGTACGTAGTGCTTCCGCGTACGTTAATAGCGGAGCTTCGGCTGGACGCAGGGCCGTCATGGGTTGGACTTCGGCTGCACGCAGAGTCGTCATGGGGTGCACCAGCTGCCGGACCTCTTCGCGAACGACATCCGTTAGAGCAGCAACATGGGGCAGAGAAGACACCACGTGCAGCTTTTGCAGCTCCTCGCGCACAATACTGCGCACGAGCTCCATCAGGTCTTTTACAGTCGTGACGTCAGGTGTTGGTAGGGCCGACGACACTGACGAAAGACTGCCAGGACGCTCATACTGGTACGAACGCTGCCTTAGCATTCTCTCCATTGTCGTGGCTTCGCGGAGGAAATCCCCTACAGTGCTGGGAGGGTTCCGCACTAGTCCCGCGAACAGCTGCTCTTTCACTCCCCGCATTAGGAGGCGCACCTTCTTCTCTTCCATCATTGAGGAGTCGGCCCGCCTGAACAGCCGTGTCATGTCCTCAACGAACATGGCAACACTCTCGTTCGGACGCTGGTTTCGGGAATTGAGGAGCCGTTCCGATTGCTCCTTTCGGTCAGAGCTTCGGAAGGTATTTCGCAACTGGTTGCGGAACTCTGGCCAGGTTGTCATAGTGGCTTCATGGTTTTCGAACCAAGTGCGCGCAGAGTCCTCGAGATAAAAGTAGACATACTGAAGCTTTCGCTGCTCGTTCCACTCGTTGACGCTGCCGCAACGGTTGTAGTCGTCAAGCCAGTCGTCGACGTCCTCATAAGGGTCACCGTGGAACGGCTTCGGAGTACGCGGGACGTTGAAGAACCATGGAGGAGGCAGCGTTGATGTTTCTTGGGTTTGCGTTCCCGCACTAGCCATAGTACTGCCGAGTTGTGGAAATGGTCCGAATTCAGGAGGTAGGCCTAGTTGTCGCCTGCTGCGCCGTAGGTCAGCTGGTTCTTCCAAGTCGCGACTAGTGTCGGGACCTTGCTGCTGATTGCAGTGAATACAACACTACCCAGCACCTCCACCAGAAAATGTCACGTGATTACAGAACGACCACAACGTCTGTTCACAGGAGCAGCACTGGACGTCGAGCCGAACCGAACGTTAGAGCACGAGCACCCCAACCGTCCTCTTCTTCTTTCACACCATGGCACATACTCGCATTGGCATGGCTAAACGTCGTTCCATACCTGTGGCAATATATACCACTTCTGTCACATGACCTGGCAGGTAAAATAGCAAAAAACAAAAATGGGGCTTTAAAACAATTTACCTCAGATCAAATCTTCAGAGTGCTCATGAGGTATGAAAATTCTTTTTTTGTTAACATTATGAAGGGTGCGCTTACGCATTCCTTCCCACTTCTCCTAATGTGAAACACCTCTATCAGCTCTCTGGTGGTCCGATGTGGATAAAACAATAGCATTCCAAACAGGTTTCAATCGCACGAACTGCAATGTTTGGGTAAGTGTGAACTATCTTTGGTGTCCAACGATCTCCTATGTCCTTAACGAGGACTACAGTTGTCCGCCACTACCAGCGTCCGTAACTACTATCGCGTAAAATGAGCAGAAAAAACAACAACTAAGTAAATGAAAAACACCATAGGCACAGTGGGATTCAAACCCGGGTCTCCTGCATGCCAAACCAGTATTCTACTACAGAGCCACGCCAGTGCTTGGCCTTCCTTAGGCAGGCTTGATGCTGAGAAAAGAATCACATTAATAAGAGTGATAAAGTGCTTTAAAACAGCAAAGCAATAACCAGGCATCCCACAAGGCAAATTGTGTAATGAGGGGATCATCGAATGCTCCAACCCATTAAAAAAGTTCAGGCATAATTCTTCATCTTCATCAGCCACCTCGTAAAAAATTGCACAAAATTCCTTGCAAGTGTGTAGCAGGTATCATGCTCTTCCAAAGGATAACAAAGGATGGCATAGTGAATGCCTCCATACTACACAAAAATTATAATCTGAGGCATAACGGGTACCCTCTCAGTGTGCTTGCAGCACTCATGCAGTGTATAATAAAGGCTCTGAAGGGCCACTCTTCATACTTTCGCTGTGACTGTGCTCTGCTATCCGTGCAGGCCTGGTGTTTATTTTTTATTCTTAATTACATGAGAAAAAGGGGAACAAGTATCTAGTTCAAGTTTTATTACTTCAGAAAGGATTGGGCATTTTGTTTTTATTGCCCAATAAAGGCTGGCAAACTATTACTTGCCTGGAAAAAGGGGTTCTCCTGTGCCAGCTGCTGGCGCATGCTGTCAAGTAAACCCTCGACAGTGGTGAAACGGCCAGAGAGGACACCCGCACCAGCCTCCAGCTCTAGCTCAGGCACATGCACAGTGCATGTTTCAGACTTTAGTAAATCCCGTGCCAAGTCTGCAGGCTCCAGGACACGCAGCTCAATTTGCACCCCTTGTGGCTCTATGCCTGCACCACTCTTCACTTCGTTGGTACGGTGGCCGCAACGATCACACGAGGTCGCCATGATCACTACCTCTTTGAAGTGCGGCACCTGCATAATACAGCACCTTGAAATTTGCTGCACACAAAAACGCACCGAAGTGAAAACACAATTGAAGTCTTAACAGTTACAGTGCTGCTCGGTTTGGGTTCAAGGTCCACTATGTTAGTCGTCCTTGAAATTCAGTAAGACTTCTTGGTTGTTCACACATGCCAAAATCATTGCACAACAAAGGAACACGCACAGAGGTGAGCACCACGAGTTGGTGCTTGTTGTGTTCTATCGTTCCTCTGGCTTTCATGCTATACTGCTTTCTATCCTAGCCATATGTCATGACATGGCATCCCAAACAAATCAGCGCGCCTCATGAAAGACTATCACAACAACACAACCGAATTTTTTTTGTGGCAATGAAAAGAAAGATAAAAGTGCATCAAACTGTCTTTACGATTAGTAGATCCTACTAGTACTGAAAATGTAAGGTTCTTAGAACTGTTTGTGCTTTTGCTCCTCAGCTTTAAAAAAACAGACACCTGTTGTGATGGTTAACGGGACGTTCGTCACTATGTTTGCCTATAGCGGACGAGAAAGCATTAACATGAACTTTTTATTTCATGGCATGGGTGGAACGGCTGACGACGCACGGATACGCTACCATGTGCAGCGCCGTTTAGTCGGACGTCGCGGCCAACCCAGCAGTCAGGGTCGCAACTCCGGAGGTCCTGGATCAGGCCACGGCTCATGACGACCACACCCGGTAGGCCTCGTCCACGAATCTGCTCCCGGCCACTGCACTCAGGCAGGAGCCGTTCGGCAGGTCTCGGCCTTGGACCTTGAACAGACACACCGGAGCTCGACCTGGCCGACACGTACGGGTCGCACGTCCGGCTCAGGAACGCTGCCAGGAACTCGTCCTCTCGAGCGGCACACCGTTTCGTCTGCCTTCGTGGCCTCAACTCTCGAGCTGCAGTGGCGGAGATGCCTTGACCAGCGCGACCTCGGACCTCGTTTCCAAGCTTTTGATCACCTTCCGGGCGTAGCGGTTCCACGTGCGGGTTCTGGCTAGCACAGCACCGTCTGTGCCGTGCTGAAATGCTGCTCACTACAGCTGCGGTGCGGCAGCTCACTCACCGGCGTTCGTCGCCTTGGCCAGGGCACAGCCAGGTACCCTCGGGTGCGCACCTCGTGAGCTCGCGGCCCACTTCCGAGGCTGCTGCGTCGCTCGGTACGGCTCGGCACCACTCGGCGATCCTTGATTCAGCCAGCAACTCCCCTGGCATCTGAATCTTCGGCCACCCTGAACCTCGCCCGGCTCCATGGTCCTCCGTACACACGCCCGCGTCTCGCCCGGCAGAACATCTCGCTCGTCCCTTGCCGAAGTGCGACGCTCTGGTGACATTGGCGCTTGATGGCGTAGGTGCGACTACGGAGCAGTCAACCCGCATAGGAGACGCGATGCTCCATGCGGGGAATAGCCAGCCCGTCCAGCGAAGAGCGTGCGCCGAGACGCGATGCTCGACGCAACCGTGACCATTAGCCAGGCCACGTTCATCGCTGTGTTCAACGGCTGACCGCGGAGACGCCTCGCCGAGATCCGCGATGCCCTCGCCAAGGAAGAGAACAGCAGGCCAGGCCGCGCCCCGAGATGCAGCACTCGTGCCGGCAATGCCGCCCAAGCTGGTGGTTGGACGGCAGCAGCGTGGACGGCCGCGTTCCCTGGCCGGGACCTCGATCGCCTGCGTCCGACGCTTCGGCCCGCTGTCTCCCGTCTGCCGCTGCTCCGGCTCGTCCCCAGCCACAAAGCCTACTGCCACGTAATGGTCACACGTGGCCCAATCGTGGCACGCCACCTCTATGGGCCACCACTGGTCATGAGCTGATTGGCGCACAGTTGACTCGTAATCGCACGTGTCTTCTTCTCTTCTTCATTTCTTGTTGTCGCCTTCGTGCCACCTGCTCTCCGCTCGTCTTCTTCAGTTCTGGTTTGATGCTCATCGGCGTCTTTAAGTCCTTTCCTTACAATATCCCCCTGCTCAAGAAAGTTGTTTAGGGGGAAAACAACTTTTCTCAAACAACAATGAACAGACGCCGCTCTTCGAGGAGGAGCCTTTCAGCCTCCATGCGAGCTATTTCACGCTCATGCTCCGCCTGTGCTGCTAGACGTGCCTCCTCTCGATCTTTCGCTATCTGGTTCCTCATTTCTTTTTTTCTCAGTGCTCACCCATGCCAGCAAAGCCTCTCCACTCAGTTCCATCTCCTTCCCTAGCTCAACTAACTTTCTCTCGTCGTCCATTCTCGTCCGCCACACACAAACAACGTGAGGCTCTCAGATGTAACGCGAGAGCTTAATCCTGGCAGGCTCGCCATTTATTGTGATGGTTAACGGGACGTTCGTCACTATGTTTGCGTTTACTGGTGGCACAATTTCTTTTCATGTCAATTCACCCTTTCCCTAACAGAATGAACTTCTGTAAATAATGTTTTTTTTTGCTATGTTTTCGCTTTTGGGTACTCCACCTCGCGCGCTTGTGAAAAGTTGTTTTCCCCCTAAACAACTTTCTTGAGCAGGGGGATATTTGTAAGGAATGGACACAAAAGTGCTGTGTTTAGGTACGATTTGTGGCTAAAAGGACTTGCAAGCGCCGAGGAACGCCAAACCGAAACTAAAGAAGACGAGCGGAGGGCAGGTGGCACGAAGGCGATAACAAGAAATGGAAAAGAAGAAGAGAAGAAGAAGGAACGTGGAAAAAAGCGAGCTCGAGCGTGGAGGCCACGAAGGCAGACGAAGCAGTGCGCCGCTCGAGAGGACGAGTGCCTGGGAGCGTTCCTGAGCCGGACGTGGGACCCGTACGTGTCGGCTAGGTCGAGCTCCGGCGTGTTCGCTCGGGGTCGAGTCCGCCGGCCGGTACAAGGTGCAAGGACGGGGCCTGCTGAACGGCTCCTGCCTGGGTGCAGTGGCCGGGAGCAGGTTCGTGGCGAGGCCTACCGGGCGTGGTCCTCGTGAGCCGGGGCCTGACCCTGAACCTCAGGAGTTGCGACCCTGACTGCTGGCCGCGACGTCTGACTAAACGGCGCTGCACACGGTAGCGCATCCGTGTGCCGTCAGCCGTTCCAGCCGCTCCAGCCGTGCCACCTTTGCCCTCGCGCACGTCGACGATCGCATCATGTCGGGACGACGGGGACCCAAACTGTGAGGCAGCGTTTTTCTCTTGCGAACTGAGAACTCTACGCGCTGGACTCGGAGTAAGCGTAGCCGCGAGCTCCCCGCATGCTAGAGGTCTGACTCTCGTACATGTTGCGTGACGCGTGGCGTGTAGGGTTGGACATATAGTTTTATTTTCACCTGCCACTTCGTTCTCTAGTGTATAATATAACGCTTCTTTTGTTCGCATCCATTGTTGATGTGAATCCTTTCTCGTCCGCTGTCAACAAACACAGTGACGAACGTCCTTAACCATCACACCTGTGTTAAACACCCAAGCATGGCCGCATAAACGGTATTTACTCGTGTAATCCTCACACTTTTTTTGTGTGAAAAATTGATGAAAATTTTGGGGTCCAAGAATTACGTGAAGAAACCTTTTTGCAAAAACGTATGGAGCAGGAGAAAAAAAAAACGAAGTGGCCCCAAACTGAGATTTTTCCCACCTTACTTAAAGAATACAGCTACAGGTTCAACACAAGGCAGGAAATCATCGTGTGGCAGCAGAAATATCTACGGACCATTCAAGAAAGGCAAAACGGTACGTAGAGCTACTGCTTTGTTTTGTTAGACAGAGTTATAAATGTCAACGATTTCAATTAAAACACAAATTCAGCAGTAAAAATTCAGACTTGAAAGAGTAGCAAGAGGAAATGAGAATGAAAGTTCTCATACCGGTGAATATTAAACTTTTCATTCACCTGTCCTCATACATTTGTATTTTTTTAATGGCTTGCTTCTGCATTTGTGGCTCTTGTATTTTTCCTGTTATTCTGGTTATTCAAGTAAACGCACAAGTATGTATCGACGTGTTCTAATGAAGTATGGATAGCTCTGTATAAGGTATTTTGTTATTCTGGTGAGTTGGTACCTTCTGCAAACATTTTTTATATTTGTATTTTTCAGTACCACTGAGGAACTGCAAATATCTGCCTGCCAGGTAGAATGATATTAGACTCACATTATCAATGTCTCTTGTCTCAACTGAACCCTATTGTTAAAAACAGAAATCCGTCTCTTGATTTTGTAGGTCTATACACTACCTTGACGAGACTAGGCTGAATGCAGGACTCGTCAAAGAGAAGATGTGGGAGGACACCATTGTGTCATCACGTGAGAACGCCTTTCGCAAGGGTCTCGAACTGGGCCTCATGCACCGAGCGGCAAAACTGGTCAGCTCATTGTCCTTCATGCTGGAAGGGAAAATGGCTTTGTGGATTGGGCACCTGTCATTTTCCGGGCGAAAAAGAGTGTTTACCAAACTTTTACCGAACATTGAGCCACGGGGCGTAATTGTCAAGGACAATGGTTCGTATTATAGCGTACAGCTAAATAAGTTGCCCTTCACATCGTCACGCAAGACTGAGAGTCAGTCTTGATTGACTCAAAAAAACATTCCGTGGTTTAATGCCCCGTTAAAGCCTGAGCTCATTCCGCTAGTTAACCAAAACAAGCCCCGCTTTTATGGATAGCGGACTGCTGCTCTAGCCAAGGTTGCTGGTCACGGCATTGCTTGGCTTCCTCCTTTCCATTGTGAATTCTCTATTGAAATGGTATCAAGCCAGGAATGGAATGGAATGGAATGGAATGAAAAAACTTTATTTTATTTATCAGGCCAGGTCTAGGGGTATATTGTAGCCAACAATGGGTTGTTCACTCTTGCTGGAGTTGGAAAACTTCTGGACAAAGCCATTGCACTTGTGACTCCAGAAAATTGGGCACACGACTGCGCTCACGTGGTGCATCTTGAAGAGAATGCCTGGGAATAGGATGGTGCAATAGAAAGCATGCTGTGAGATCTGACTCCAACAGCTGCAGTAGCAGTAGTGTCAGTGAATTGTGTGGTTTA